TCCAATGGACTGAAGGATAGAATGTGAAAGAACAATTACTATAGTGCACATGCTAGCAGATATTTCACTTTAGAGTTGCACAAAACCAGTGACGTGTGGAGTGTGAATCAATAAGAAGAAGAAACACACAATAGAATTTGATCTGTTTATCACTGAAAACACATGAGAAGAGATTTTTCTATTCACTTAATTATTTTTGAGCCATGATATAGACTTAAAAAAAGCACACCAGAATCAGTAATATCAATGTATCATGAGTAAAAGACGTTCACGAACAACATCTACAGAGATTTATTCCCAGGCAACAGGTGTTGGTAAACAATCTTGATTCAATATTAAAAAAAAAAATAGTAAAAATTATGAATACAATTAAATCAAAGCCATGGCCTATTCATCTTTTTTAAACTGCTTTACTGAGATATAATTCACATATTTTATATATTAAATATCACAATAAAATTCACCCATTTCAAGTGTGAAACATATACCTCCCTTTGAGGCATACATCTCTGCAAAGAAGCAGGGAATATAAGATTATCGTTCCACACTGAAGTATGCTGGCATGCATACAAGTTTATGAAATAGAAAAGGAGACAAAAACTTTTCTTTTAAAATAGGAAATATTTCAAAAATACAAGAAAGAGATGCCATATATTTACCACTCATGTTTAACAGATTCAACATTTCCCTATATTTCTTCATATGTGTAGAAAGAAACAAGACATTAAACATAACAATGAAGTCCCATTCCCCTATCTTTTTTTCCTTTCTCTCTCCCTACAGTAACCACCATTCTGAAGTTGGAAGTTGGAGTGTGTCATCTTATGCTTGCTTTGTACTTTTACCACATGTTATGTATCTAATTGTTTGAATTTGCATTTCCCTATTACTAGAGAGTTTGAACATCTTTTCAGATATTTATCGACTATTAAAGTTCCTCTTCTGTTTTCCTTTGCCCATTTTTTTTCATTTGAGTTATTTGTCTTTTGCTAGTCTTTAATATATTCTGGATATAAATCTGTTGTTCATTATATGTGTGGCAAATATCTCTTCCCTATCCATGGCTTGTCTTTGCCTTGGTTTACGGTGTCTTCAATCATTCAGAACTCCCAAAGACATCTGAAAGAGCTCAGACATGAAAGCCAAGCCTTGCTTATATTGGGTCTTATCCTATATTATAGAAATTTGCTCCAAGGTCACAAAGCTCTATCCAATGAATGGACAACTGACTCTAAAATAACTAAAGAAAGCTCTTTGTTACAGGACCAATCATCTGTAGGGTGCTCAAAACTGTCTGCGAATCTGAGAATTAGCATATAGTTGTCAACACAGTCTTATTTATGCCAGTATTTTAAAACATTTAAGACACTAACATGCAATAAAGATCATTTCTATAGTCCCCAGCAGCTTTGGCAAAATACCTTAGCAAAACATACAGTATCTTGAATAGGCTCAATCTATCCATTAAGGGTTAATATATCATAATTTTTAATTTTAAGGAAAAGATTAGAATTAAGATCAAAATGTAGTTTAGTTTGTCCCACTTGGTCTTTGTCTTTTAATGGGTAATTCCACCTATTTATATTTACTTATAAAACAAAGTATTTGTCTATTATCCTTTTTTATACCTCATTTCAAAGGATTCCTTAAAATTTCCTTTGCTTATAACTTGCCATGTGGACTATGTTTTCATTTTTTTTCTTCAAGTGATTTAAAACTTATAGAATGAAAAGAATTATAAGTAGTTCTCTTTAAATTTAAAAAAACACACATTTAGAACTATACATTTTTCATATTGAAAGATTTTAATATTTCATATTTAATACTTCAAAATACCTGTGACGCCTCTGACCCATTTCCTTCCTAATTTTTATATTCATAAATAGGGATTTCATTTGAGATGAATTCTTCAAGTGAGTTATGTTCTCTTTAATAACCTCATTTACAATCACTACTTAGAGTTAATTCTGTATTGAACTAGCTTCAGTTCTTACCACCAGTGCTTTCCAATTATTGTGTTCTTTATTTAGATTTGTCTTTTAACTGGCAGTAGTACATCTCAGAAAAATTTTCAGAAAAGATAATGGTGGTATTCTTTCTCAGCACTTCATGTCTGAAAATGTATTTCTTTAGCATTCACACAAATGACATCTTGGCTAGATATGGAATTCTTGGTCCTAACATTTTAATTCCCGCTTTTAAAGTAGCCAGCCTGATTTTTCATCCTTAGGTAACCTGTTTTCTCTCATGCATCTACTTATACTATTATTTCCTTGCTTCTCATTCTTAAAATTAAAAACTTTTAAAAAGACTTTTTTCGGGTTGGCCCCGTGGCTTGGCAGTTAAGTGCGTGTACTCCGCTGCTGGCGGCCCGGGGTTCAGATCCCGGGCGCGCACCGACGCACCGCTTCTCCGGCCATGCTGAGGCCGCGTCCCACATACAGCAACTAGAAGGATGTGCAGCTATGACATACAACTATCTACTGGGGCTTTGGGGGAAAAATTAAATAAATAAATAAAATTATTAAAAAAAAAAAAGACTTTTTAAAAGTTTTCAAAAAAAGTCTTTAAAAAGTCTTCAGTTCTTTCAAGCTCAGATTCAAGTTTCTAGCTTAGGAAAATTGCTAGCTTAGGAAAATTTCTATCAACATTATCTTTGATGACCGCCTCTCTTCTACCTGTTTCAGGGACACTAATTATGCCTCTGTCGGATTTCAGTCCTGTGCTCCAATCTAGCACACCAATTTTATTGGCAAAATTTATCTCAAATTTTTCTTCACACAACTGACTCAATTTTCTTCAGTGTATACTCTGTTCTCTAGTCCTAATGAAGCTCTTAATTCTGCTAAGATTTTACTTCCCCAATTTTTTATTTCGCCCATCTCCTTTCGATTTCTCTTAACCACTTTTTCATCTCAGACTATTATCTAGATTACATTACTATCCTCTTGACTTTTACAAAATGTTCTAGCCCCTTGGTTTTTACTAAAGCATATAATAGGTGCTATCTAAAATCAACTTTTGTTCCCTGTAGCAAATCTTTTTCAGGTATGCTTTCACTTTGGACACTAAGTACAATGTTCTTTTCCTTTTATGTAGCAGAAACTTTTCTTCGGTTGACATGAGATCAACTAAGATCCAGTGTTTGCTCATAAGTAAGCGGATTGAATGCTTCTATACTGTCCAGCTGTCTGCTGTTTAATGTCAGCTCTCAGATTTTATGCTGAAACCTAGCTGATGTAAATTTACATTATCACTTTGGTGATTCAGGAGTAGGAAACTTTATCTTAGCACAATTTCTCTTTTGTGTTTAAAATAAGCAGCAACATAACAGGCAAGATTTCTATATTGAGCTTTTTGACTGGCTCAGCCTTCAATACCTGGAGTTTCTCATAGTGCTGTTTCCCTACTGTGTGAGGAAGAACACCCACCACACTATATGCTTTCTGCCTAGTACGGTCACAACCTGGTCCCTACTTTTAAAATCTATTATTCCACACAATAAAACATAATCCAGGTGGTATACTCTCCATCTGTTCCAAGGTTTGCCCTTATCTCTTCTTCACTTGTCAGTGTAATTATCCCAGGATCTACTCTACTACCCATGACCTTGATTATTTTCCTACAAATGAGACTTCCAAATAAGGTACACCACGGTTTCCTACGTGACCCATCAATAGAATATCCAGCAGAAAGTTCCTGACCCTTGGATGACATTCTTCCTTAGGGTCAGGGCCAAGCTGACTATTTCCTTTTCATAATTACCTGGTCATTTTGGTAGCAATCATGGGGGCAAAAAGAAGGGCAATAAAATATCCATCCTCAAGTTCCCATTCTCAAAATGATCTACACAGAATTCATTTTGGTGCAAATTTGAGTATTTTTCTTTCATTAATTTTCCAGTGCCCTTTGGGCCACTGGGAGAAATTCTCTCCAGTAAAGACACTGGTAAATTCTATTACTGTTTAAACAAGCAGATCATTACATTTATATTAGTAAACCAGCATAATCTGTCATAATGAATGCTATAGAAGGAAAAAAAAAATCAACCCCCTCCCCGCGAGAATACTACAAGATGATTTATCCAGTATACCAATGCCTGGAACTATCTGTTGAACAGCATTTTTGCACAGCTCTAGTGTAATGATTGACAATCGTAATGATGAGCCTGAGGGACAACAAAATCCTAAAGAAAACGTTATAATTAACATAGTCTATGTTAAGAGCATAGTTTAGCATAATCTAATTCTTTTAAAACCGGTTACCCAAGCATGATAGGTATAGCCACTTTATTAAGGCAAACATCTGCTAGAACAATACCTATTCCCAATAGATCAAATGACAGTTTAATAGATAAGCAAATACATACCTATTTATTTCCCATACATTCAGCATCTACTAGAGTACATTCCAGACATCATATGTTATTTTCCTGCACACCACACACACACAAAAACTGACTGGTCTTAATAAATTATCTATTTAATCTGGTTATTTAGTATTTATTTAACAGGGGCATAGAAGAACAAAATATCACGTAAATAGGTTAAAGAAACAAACAAACGCCATAAACTATTTTACATCAAGTTGAAAAGGAAGTTTCCCCTCAAAGTCTTTCCTTTTTTAAACAAAACTGTCACTGGATATTTTTAACAAGAGATCTCTGGCCCTAAAAATGTGATTGTTTTACTTGAAATAATTTAATCCTGTTGTTCTACCTTCCCTATCTCTCCTTCATTTGTAAAAAGGCAGATGAATTAAAAACTCACAAAATAACTGCTTTGAATTGCCAAAACTAACAAAAATAATAAATGTATCAATCTGCTTTTCTAGTAGATAAAAAACAGACCTCTTATTAAAAGCAGCAAACACATGTGAATTAATCCAATACAAAATGCTCCAAAGAACAGTGGTGTCACGGACTCAGATACACTGCCATCTTAAAAAAGCATAAATTCATTGAAAAACAAAGCAAAATAATTTGATTTAATTAGCTGTACCTGCTCATCTCTTTGTCTCCACTCTTGCCAATTTTCTTCTCGTGAATCCTTCCGTACTGGGTTTGGTAATGAAAGCTCATGTTGAGCGTTACAAATGGCATGGGATGATTTCTGGGGAATTTTCTTAAAAGCAAGATTTCTGAGCTATGAAACAAACAAAAAATATATTAAATTCAGTTTACCAATCCTGGGATACCAATGATTTTTTGGAAGTTAAGAAATCAATAATATTTTTATACTTCTAAATACTATTCCAAATATTCATTATGCTAACGCACGAAGTCACTATTTGTGTTTTTTGTAATCTTTGTAGAATATTAATTCCACCAGCATTTGAGATAATGCTGGTGGATTTCTAGATGAAATAATTTAAAAAGTGAAAATGGACTGTACTCTATTATCCACCATTTTAATGATTCTGCTTTGCTCAAGGGAAGAAGTTCATAGGAGTAAAAAAAAAAAAAGGATAACAAGTGTGCTTTTAAAATGCAAAACAATAGGGTTCAAAAAGACTTTAACAGCTTACAAATTTAAAAGTTAAAATAGCAAGAGAAGCCAGCTTACACAACTCCAGCAACTGCTTTGCTAGTCCTGAAAAATACAGAGCCTAGTCTCCAAAGCAACATAATGAACTAAAACTGTACTGGCCAAGCCACTCCCAACAATAAGAATAACCTGAGACTCGACAGTTGAAACAACGGAGAAAAATATTGAGAGGCTGTAATGGATTGAATTGTATTCCCCCAAAAGCTATGTTGTAGGCCTAACCCTTGATGTCTGTGAATACGACCTTATTTGGAAACAGGGTTTTTGCAGATGTAATCAAGTTAAGGTCATACTGAATTAGGGTGGGCCCTAATCCAATATGTCTGGTGTCCTTATAAGAAGAGGTGAAGAGAAAGATACACAAAGAGAACGCCATGTAACAACAGAGGCAAAGACTGGAGTGATGCAGCCACAAGCCAAGGAATGCCAAGGACGTATGGCCACACAAGTATGAAGAGGCAAGGAAGGATTCTACTCAGAGTTTCAGAGAGACCATGGCCCTTGTTGACACTTGGTCTGGACTTCTAGCCTCTAGAACTGTTAGAGACAATAAATCTCTGTTGTATTAAGCTACTTAGTTAGTGGCACTTTGTTACGGTAGCCCTAGGAAACTAATAAAGAGGCTGTAAGTCAAGGATGAACAATTTTAATTGATAATCAATAGATTGTTCTGCAAAAGGGAGTGATGAGATACAAACACTTTAAGTAGCTGGTTTCTGCTGTGGAAAGAACATAGAGGAGGAGATGCTGCTGAAGAGAAAACACTGGCAGGGAGACTGTTGCTTTACTTCACAGCAAGTAAAGACCGACAGAACCATAGCCATGGAAGTAGAAAGCAAGGATCCTCAGGCTCATTCTCAGTTACATGTTTTCCTATTCTCTAATATAAACTCCACTATTACCTTATTTTCTGTTCCTACACACCATCTTCAATTCCAAAAATAAAATGGTGGACAATCAAAAGTTCTGAAAGACTGGACGTCTGAAAGTTTATATGGTAGGGAAAATGTCTTTTCTTTTAAAATTACTCTCTGTGTGGCAGCATTTTAAAGAGATATTTTGAAAGCAATGGTAATAGAAATAAACAAATTAAAAAGGCTTTTTCTAAGTCTTGAGACATCATAAAATGAATATAAGCAGAAAAAAGCACTTTTACCACTTCTCTCAATAAATGATATTGAGAAAGGTCCTTATATACCTGACCACTCCTTCTATTAAAAAACAAACACAGGCTAGAGTTGTTTTTCATCATTTCCTTTAAAAACAAATGGACACATTAAATAGTGGTCATGTAACTCATGCTAAGAATGTCTAGGGGAGAAGGGCCTGCCATGCACCTATTACCCTTAAGAAAGACATGACCATGAAATGCATAAAAATGTATGTTCAAGGCTAATCATAGGATCACTGTCTATAATAGTAAAAAAATAAGACACAACCTAAATGTTTATCACAAGGGTTCAATTAAGTAAAGTATGCTATAGTCATACAATTAAATAATGTGGAGTCATTTAAAATAATGTAGATCTTTATTTATTCATACAGAAAACTGCTCATGGCTAATTTTTTAAAAAGCCAGTTATAAAAGTCTATTATCTAATCCCATTTTTGTTGAAGTAAAATATGAATATATAGATATATCTATATATTCATATAAACTTATATACATGTACAGAAAACACATACCAAAATATGAATTGGTTATATCTCCAGTTATATTTACAAATGACCTTTGTTTCCTTTTCAGACTTCCTTGTTTTCAGAAACTTTTTGGAATGAGCATGTAAGCTTCCATAGACAGAAAAAAATAAAGGCATTTAAAAAATGTTCATCTGGGCCGGCCCAGTGGTGTAGTGGTTAAGTTTGCATGCTCCGCTTCAGCGGCCATGGGGTTCACAGGTTCAGATCCCAGGCGTGGACCTATGCACCGCTTATCAAGCCATGCTGTGGTAGGTGTCCCACATATAAAGTAGAGGAAGATGGGCATGGATGTTAGCCCAGGGTTGATCTTCCTCAGCAAAAAGAGGATGCTTGGCAACAGATGTTAGCTCAGAGCTAATCTTCCTCACCAAAAAAAAAATGTTCATTACATTTGACTCTAAATACACACAAATTTATATCCATTCATTCAAGTCATATTCACCAAGTACCTACAGACCAGGTACTATAGATACAAGGATCAACAAGATAGTACCTGTCCTCATGATGCTTATAGTCTACTGGGAAAGCAGACACAAATATTTATAACTGTTACCTCATTTGCTTCACTCTGTTGCTGTTCCTTCTTTTTTCTTCTTTTCTCTCTCTTTTTCTCATTTGTAGTTGATTTGCTTGTTTGAGACTTTCCAGTATTCCGACCTTTGCCTTTTCCAGGCTCAGAATCAGAACCACTGCCACTATCCACTTGTAACAGGGCAAAACGAGAAGCAGTAGTGGGGACAGAACTAAGTACTGCTGAGGCCATTGTAAAAATTTCTTTTTTAAAATATTTCTGTCAAGAATAATTCCTGTGGGAAGGGATAAGAGGAGGCAGATGAGTAAACATGCTCAGAATTTGTTCTAGATTCTTGAACAACAATTATGTGTTTGTGTGTATACACATACATATACATTTCTCCTCATGCTGGATTTAGTAATATTTGGATTCATACCCACAGTCCTATTGGCAATAACATACTTTTTAAAGTAAACAACATAAAATTGTATAATATAAAATAGAAAAATGATATATTGAGATCTCATGGACAATTATTGCAAGACTAACACTAGTACATTATATTCATTTTTCCATATACGGTTTTCAAAAATGCGTGATTTTCCTCTCTCTTTTAAATATACTGCTGTAATATATACATATTTATGGAAAACATCCTAAATAAGTATGGTTTACAATGGAAAAGTAGGAATATCATTTTTCACTGCACACAGAGACCCTTAGTCCAACTACATGTTTATCCCCAACTTACAAGACAGGAAAAAAAAGGAGTAGAAAAGGAAGACCTCTCTTATCATATACAAAATGATGACTTAACTTTGATTGTAGAGACTGCTACTAAGTCACAAAACTGATAGCAAAATATAGAACTTAAATTCCCTCAACCAAAGGAAACTTTTCAAAATCACCTTCCACATTATCTTTAGTTCACTAGTCTCAATGCACCCTACCTCTCTCAGCTTTTTAAGAACCTTTTAGGCTTAGACAAGATATTAAAGGTCCTCTAGTAATATCTAACCCAAATCTTTTAGTTTTAAAGATGAGGCAACTGGTGCTTAGAATGATTAAGTGACTTGCCTAAAGTCATTCTCCAAGTTAGTGGCAAAATGAGGATCTAAATAAACCTAAATTTGCTGAGCCTTACTCTGCAAGTTCAAATTAAGAAGCCTTGTAACTACTAGAAGCACTCTTTCAATTCAAAAAGAAACAGATTTTAATAGATTGTGAAACAGAAATTTGTTTTTTATTTTGAAATGTATCAGGCACACAACTGGATAAAATATTAAGTTTAAAAAAATAAATGAACATTCCAAGTATCCAGCATTAAGATTAACAGAACATTAACCCACTCCTTGCCTCTCCCCAGCAGCATCCCCCCAACTCCCCTGCCAAGAAACAACCTGATTTTTGCGTTACTTATTTCTTTGTTTTTCTTTATAGTTTTATCATGTCTGTCTCGAGTCACAGTGCTCATATCTGAAATAGCTACTGTCATTTCCACAATATCCAATTGTTTACACAGGTCCCCCCTATTCAGCGTGAGAGGGGACTACACAAAAGAGTGAATACTAGAAGGTAAGGATCATTAAGGTCCAATTTGAAAGCTAACCACACACTACAGTATATTTTCAGGAGAGAACAAAAATGAGAAGCATGTGTTCAATCTTCCATCTTAACCTAAGAATCCAGAAAATTGGGGGCCAGCCCCGTGACGTAGCAGTTAAGTTCAGCACGCTTCACTTCAGCGGCCAGGGTTCTTGGGTTCGGATCCCGGATGTGGACCTACACCACTTGTCAGCCATGCTGTGGTGGCGACCCATATACAAAATAGAGGACTTCCACAGATGTTAGCTCAGGGCTAATCTTCCTCAGCAAAAAAAAAAGAAAGAAAGAAAAAAAGAAAAAAAAGAATCCAGAAAATTATCTGGAAATCTTTCAGTTTTTTGTTAAACAATGAAGAAAAGCCAAAATAAGAGTTGATATGTGATGATGTCATCTAGTAGTTATTAAATCAAAGTATTTTTATTATAATACCATGTTAAGACCTATTGCTCCTATGCTCAGATATATGCAAATCAAGATAAAATACCATGACATATAGAGATGACATCACCCTGATAAATGCTGACATATTTTTAGACTTAAATCTTTCCTGCAAGCATGAGCTTTGTAAGTTATTACAAGGGAGAAAATATTACAAAATGAAAAAGAAATTCCAGACTCAAAAATATTATGGAAAACACTAATTCTGCTTCAACTTCAACATGCCATGTTAAAATCCTATAAGCTTTAGTTGCTTTGGGCACTTTAGGTACAATAATCCTACACAGTTGTTCAGCAACTATTATCATATTTAATTTTAACTGCTGGGACTATAAATTGCATGTGGTGGCTGTTCACAAATATCCACTGCCCAGCCCTGAAGGAGAATTATGTATCACTCTCCTGCTGAATGCAGGCATGACCATGTGACTTACTTTGGCCAGTGAAACACAAGCTTTAAAAAGCTTTAAAAGCCAGAACATGGCTCACCATGTTCTCTTTCCCCTGCTTCTGTGACTGCAGAAGCATATGTTGAGATGGAGTCTCCATCAGTCAGGTCTGATGGAATCTGAAACTAACATGAACAAAGTCTCCTTACTAACCTGTAATGGATATGTAGCTTGAGCAAGAAAGCAACTTTGCTGCTTTAAGGTGCTGCGACTTTCAGATTGTTATTGCAGTATAACCTAATCTTATCATGACTGGTATCTTACATAGACAAATTTCTTTTTCATTCTAGGACTGATATCAAAACTGTGAATTTCATACTTGGATTGTTCTGCATGAGTGAAATGTTCACAAATGTCTGTTCTAAAACATATCTCCAAAGCTCATAGAAATTTCCTTTCTTTGTATAGGGCAAAGCTTCCTTACCAGTGTATCCTCAGATAAAGTTTCCCTTAGTTCTTGGGGCAACCAAGAAAACTCAGAAGAATTCAGAGACTCTGGGTCAGTCACCACTAGATGCAAACAGCCTCATCTGGTGCTCCCCAGAGGACAGCTCCTGCACATGGTGCTGGGCAGCTATTTGTCAGTTGTGACAAGGGAAGTGCTCAAGCCCCTGGAAATATACTTCATCAGACAACTGCACAATGCACTGCTGCCCATCATGGTAGACAGGCCAGTGAACTGCTGGAAGAGTTTGTGTTCTCGGTGCCCAAAACGCAAGGCACGCAGTTCAGTGAGCAGCAGCTGCTCCTGAAATCTCTATATTCACAAACAGCAGACACTGCCCCCCATTTGTCAGTGACATGGCTTTTTAATCGCATAAAAATCTAGCTGCAAGGTGACTGCTCAAACAACGCATATGCTTTCTGCAAATCAGAGCTGCATCATTATTTTAAACACTTGAAGTTACAAAGTCCAATTGAATTTGAACTCTTTTCATTTTATCACAAGAAATTTTGCATTACATTTTCCACGAGAAAAGCTTTTAGATCCTTTAAAAATAATTTCAACTGTTATAAATTATTGAATAGGTTATACAACAAAAACGGTTTGTTTTTACTACCTACTCATCCAAACAAAATTTCAGTGGAGATTCAATACGAAGAAAGCATCATTTAAAAGCCTGGATCAGGGGACCAGCCTGGTGGCATAGCAGTTAAATGCGCGCGCTCTGCTGCAGCAGCCCAGGGTTCAGATCCAGGCGTGCACTGATGCACTGCTTGTCAAGCCATGCTGTGGTGGCATCCCATATAAAAAGGAGGAAGATGGGCATGGATGTTAGCCCAGGGCCAGTCTTCCTCAGCAAAAAGAGGAGGATTGGCATGGATGTTAGTGCAGGGCTAATCTTTCTCACAAAAAAAAAGTTTGGATCAGGAATTGTATATTCTTATTTCATGGATAAACCTGTTATTTAAAAATTTATGTTCATGGAAGCAAGCACAGTTTTCTAATTAGAAACCTGGAAAAAATTTTCAAGTTTTATATAAATTCAAAATCTAGTATCTTTCCTAATACTTTATATTTTATTTTACCTATCCTAATCATGTACTATTAAAAAAATGTAACACATTTTTTTCCACCCAGCTTTACATAGACACTGTAGATCTCCTCCCAGTTTTGGGACAATTAGATGTCTCTGGTCCTTTATGTTAGCCATGCAGAAGACAAACGACAGAGAGCAACTGTCAAAGACTATGTTGCATGTTTTTAAGAAAACATTACCTTCCTTAACAAATTTTTCAGAATTTGCATAAAGATAGTCACTTTATACAATCCAGGAATTCATCTGTAATTTTTTTTTAAACCTTGAGGAGAAAAGGGGATACACAGCCAGACCATGAAAATATCAGGCTTGGGGCCGGCCCCGTGGCTTAACGGTTGAGTGCGGGTGCTCCGCTGCTGGCAGCCCGGGTTCGGATCCCGGGTGCGCACTGACGCACTGCTTCTCCGGCCATGCTGGGGCCGCGTCCCACATGCAGCAACTAGAAGGATGTGCAACTATGACATACAACTATCTACTGGGGCTTTGGGGGAAAAAAGAAAAAAAAAAAAGAAAAATCAGGCTTTTTACAGATACTATTTCAGGGCATAGCTAGGGTTAGTATTCTTTCAGTCTTGTGTCCTAAACTTCTGCATCTCCATCTACAATCATATCTAAGAGATATTAGAATAAATAGATTCAAACAGAGCTCTTCTCCCTCCCCCTTATATTTTCCCTTTCCACAGTCTTTTAAAATCTCAGACATGTATATACACTTAAATGATATGAACATAATTAAAGTATACAACGCAAAAAATAAAGTTTACCAGACATCCACACTAAGCTACCTACATTAGTCAGTCTAGGAATGTGGTGGCTAGTGCTGTACATGAAACAGACATTTACATATTACTAAAATATACTACACAAATTAGGTTTTTATTCCAGAAATCTAATGATTATTTCATATGTTTCCTCTCTTTCCTTTGAGTTTTTTTAAAAAATAATTTAAAAGCTAACTTAAGTAGTTGAAGGAAGACAAAAGAAAACTCACAAGATAATTTAAAAACAAATCACTCAGGTCAAAATGCACAAGAAACACAAATAAGATCACAAATACAAATATGCAGGCAGCTCATCACATACAAATGTAATAATTTTTAATATTACATAAATGTATTATTACAATACATAAATGTATTGTATTATTACAATAAATGTAATAATTTCTTAATGACTACCATTAGTAAAAACTATTAATTCCTCTATATTTGAGATCACAGCAATGTTAAATTACAGTGAAGTCTCCATTTTAGACATACT